GAGCCTCTGCTCAAGGCCAACTACTATATGTGTCTAATTAAAACACTGAAATTTGTTTTTACTGACTTAACCTTCAAAGCAGTCATACTGAGTGATGCTACAAATTATATTTGGTAACGTTTGGGTAAGGTTTGAGTAAGACAATTTGCTGAAAACCTGTAGGTTAAACATTGTTGATGCAAGAACAAATATGTTTTGTTTTTTAATTTGCAGTGAGAAAAAGTATAGCTCTGCCTAACTAAATAGGTTGCTTCTAATGTTTTTAAGCATGCACTACTTAATGAAAAATTTAAGTTGAATTCAAGTAGAAGGAATGGGGGAAAAAATCATTCATGCCCTGTCTAAAGACATCTACTCGAAATATTTTAATGTGTTCCTTTCCTGCCTTAAGTCAGTGATGTTTTGTGTGCTTATCTCAGTCTGTCCAACAAGTATTGATTTTTATTTTGAAGGAAAATTTGAGAATGGTGTTGCAGAAGGAATGGTGGATCCCAGTCTAAATCCCATTTCAGCCTTTCGACTTTCAGTTATACAGAATTCTGCTGTTTGGGCCATTCTTAATGAGGTAAGAATACATTAAATCAGTGAAACAGCTTAGATACTACATTTATTATTACATTTTGATTTTGTATTTAAGGCTTTTTTGGAATTAAGGATTAACTACCTTATCATACTTTTCATTATTTTGTATTTCAGATTCATATTAAAAAAGTCACCAACTGATCCTCTGCTAAGAAACCAACACATTTTTTTCCTGTGAATTTGTTAATTAAAGAAAGTTAAGCGTGTACTTCTTTTTTTCCAACTTGAACACTACCTCTTGTGAAATCTACTGTAGATGATTGTCATTTCCACTTGGAAAGTGAATCTCCCATGGATAATCGTACTCATTTGAAACTAAGCTGTCCTCTGATTTTAAATTGACTCAAACATTTTACAATTACGACAGCCTGTTAATATGACTTGTACTATTTTGGTATTATACTAATACATAAGAGTTGTACATATTGTTACATTCCTTAAATTTGAGAAAAAATAATGTTAAATACATTTTATGAAGGGGGTACTTTTGAAGTTCACTTATTTTACTATTATAGGCCCTCTTTTATAGATTATCAGGGATTATATATATAAATATATAAATATACACAAAATGTTATGGAGTTAATTTATTAGAAACATTTAAGAAGTACATATTTTTGTGCCGTAAATTTTTGAATCGATACTTTTTTTGAAAACCAGTTTACCTTGCTTTTTTAAGTTCTTTCTATATTTTTCTTTGGAAATGCAAACATTACACATCAATGCCATTTTTCAAATGTACTGCCATTTAAGATTGATTATAGATGGATTTCTTAACTGAAGTACTTTTATAATCATAGAAATTCTGAACAAAATACTTTCAAAGGCATTTGTCATTCCTTAAAGCCAAGATTTTAAAGACCAACATCCTTCTTGAGGGTTAGTTTACTATACTGTGTATGGTGTATAGCAACAGATCAGTCTGATAAATTTCAGTGAGCAGGTGGGATACGTTCAACCCGAATTATCATAGACTGAACTCTTTACATTTCCTGAGATGTAAAATGGCAAACTCTTCTTTCCTTTTTAATCTTTGTCTGTAACCTGAGTTAGATGCATTGTATGTTTCCTTGTTCATACTTTTATATGTACTCATTTTATGAGTTCTGAAATTTTTTTTCTAGGTAATTCTATTGTGTGAGTTATGATTGATATAATTTTAAAGAAACAATTGCAATACTGGTTTTTGGTGAAAGGTATGGTAGCAATCGTATGTTTTTCTAAAATGAGTTATTCTATTGCATTATAAACTTACAAGTAAATCCTGTGTCCAAAAAGAGTATTTATTACTCTTAAATATGCAATTCCAAATAATATTACTACTTTAAACAGAGAACGCTATCAGCCTCAGCAATCAGTGATCTTTACAAAAGAACTTTAGTTTTAAAAAATTATAAATTGTCAACATCAGTTTCGGCCAGTCTACTTTGACACACTGGTGTGCCTTGAATGGGTTGCAGCAGGGTTACAGATGAGCGGAGATTGATCCCCTGAGCTTTGAGCATGGCTTTGCTCATTCCTCCTGTTCCTGAGAATCCTTTTAGCCAAATCTTTTCCATCAGTCAAGGACTTTCTTATGCCCTCTTCGCCCATGAATTTGTTACCAGTGCCTAGAATGTGCCCGGCACGTGGCAGGTGCCTAGTCAGTGTCTGGATAAGGACACCATCTGTACCAGCCCACCCTCGTCTTTTTCTTGCTTACTTCCCTTTACCTACTGTCCTTGCCACACACTCACATACACGCTGAGCTGTCTGGTTTTTGATTATTTGTGGGGTGCATTGTCTCTCTGACCAAACTTCAGGCTCCTGAGTCAAGCCTGTAATTCATACTTCTTACCTGCCCTCCGCTGCAGCAGGTACTCATATGATCTCATTGTTAGTTGATCCCTCCTTTTCACCAAGTTCTACACTAGACAATCCGAAGCAGCCATGCTTTTCCCAAGCAAGAAACTGTAGTGGTAGCCCGTAAGAGTGGTGCTAAGGATAGCGGAGGAGGTGAAGAGTACCTGGAACTGGACGAAGGTAAATGCTTGATCTTGAGAGGACACCGAACCACTTCTACCAAAATAGAGAACGAGAAAAGTGTCAAACAGTAGTACTAATTGTGTGTGTGTGTGTGTAAATTAGGGGCATGGCATGGCATGGCATCTGGTGTGTTTCTCACATAAGCTACCAAAATAGAGAACGAGAAAAGTGTCAAACAGTAGTACTAATTGTGTGTGTGTGTGTGTGTGTAAATTAGGGGCATGGCATGGCATGGCATCTGGTGTGTTTCTCACATAAACTATTCAGACTCTCAAGCCGTGCCTGTACAGCAGGCACTAGACACGTGGTGGCTATTTAATAAAATAAAAAATTCAGTTCTGCAGTCACACTAACTATATGTCAAGTGCTCAATGGCCACATGTGGACACCAGAGATGCAGAATATCTACATTACAGAAAGTTCTGTTGGAAAGTACTGTGTTGAGTGGTAATGTGAGCATTTTGGAAACTATTAATCAGAATTAATGAATTCTGATTAAGAGGTTAAAAGCAGACATGTGAATATATCATAATGCAAATAATGATGAGTATTTTGGGTGAGAAGAGAAAGTTTGAGGACCAATTTCTAGGATTCTAAGATCCAGTGTTTCTGAGTTCTTTGTTAGAGTCTCATGTGTTCTCTAAAGCATGCAATGTACCATACTATATAGTCAAAAAAGATGGTGAGATTGAAAAGCTTCAGAAAAAGTTAATGCAAATAAATTACTTGCACATAGGCTATAGGACACATATGTGTATATTCATTCAACCATTAGAAATATCTTGGAACAAAGGTGTAGCTTATCAAATCAATGGTTACACCATTAAATAATTAGAAGGTGTGGTTATTTTAAAAATCCCTCAGCAAAGTTCTGAAGGCTTCTTTTAAATCTGTCATAATGAAAAAAGCTATCTCTTTTCTGTCTTACAGAAAAGTTTGGTTATGTGGAAACAGCATATTTGGAGAGATTGTTCTAATTAATAGCAGTGTATATTTGTGGAAGGCAGAAGACTAAGCACAGATCCCCCTCACCTGTCAGTGACCTTGTATAATATCTTACCCCTTCGAGTGTGGGTAGAACCTGTGACTATGTCACATTACATAGCAAAAGGGAGATTATCTGGGGGTGGCTAATCAAATCTTAGCCCTTTAAAAGCAGAGATGATTCTCAGGTTATTAGCATAAGTCAGAGACTCCAAGCAGGACTGAAGGCACCACTGCTATTTTAAGGTGGAAAGGGCCACATGAGAAGGAATGAAGGTGGCCTTAAAGAGCTGAGGCCTTGACAATGGAACTGCAGTCCTTCTGTCACAGGAACTGAATTCAGGGGGCTCGAAAATAGATTCGTCCCCAGGCTCCAGATAAAAGCCCGGCCTGGCCAACACCTTGATTCCACCTTGGGGAGACCCTAAGCAGAGAATTCAATTAAGCCTGCTTGGGCTTCAACCTGCAGATAACAAATGAGTGGTGGTCTAAGCTGCTAAATTTATAGTAGTTTGTTATGTGGTAATAGAAAATACAATATTTAAAAGATGTGAAGAGAAGGCTTCATACTTGATTCCCTATGCTTTGTTGATATTTCTTGATAAACATGTAAATAATCTTTACTGGCAAATCATACCTGGGCCTCATCTGGTCTGTTCTCTGCCAGAGATCTGTCTTCATTAGAAGTTTGTTGGCAAAAAGCTGCAGCATCTTTGTAGCGTTTTGTAAAGGAACTGTTAGGACAAGATTGTAGGAATAGTATTGAAACTGTATAAGGAATCCTTTCCCTGGAAGAGGTATTTATACTGATATAGACTGCTCTGAGCCTGTCAGAAATATATTAAAGAATGACAAACAGTGGTATTCTAGGTATGACATTGAGAAAAAATAACTTATGCCTTTATATAGAGATCAGATGATCTACTCTATATTGAGGGACTCAATTTTTTTAAGACAAAATTTAGTTTATTATCCAGCACAGATCAAATCCTATTATGTGCCAACCAAATTTTTGTACTTTGAGAATGTTTTCCAAAATACTTCTCTGCTTCCAAGTCAATAATTGCTAATGAAGTTTATTTTTATTTGGTTTATCCATCACTTTTTGTGCTTAGTTTTACTGTACTGCCATAGCCCTGATGCTAAGGAAAACCTTGATGCTAAAGTAGAGCTTATGGAAAGAAAATGAGAGGCTTAAAGACTCAAAAGGTGAGAAATCTGAGTCATAATCATATATCAATGTTTGTTGTATGGAAACTTAGATATCCAATCCTTGTACAGAAAAGGAAACTTTTCCAAGCTATGTAGTAATATTTATAGTGTGTAAAATTGATAGTTGTGAAATTGTAAATTATTTAATAGATACATGCTATGATAACTAGAATGCTTACTTTGTTTCTTTAATGCATGTGAACATAAAACTAAAAAGATTACTGTCACAATATTAAAAAGACAAAACTGGGGATTTTGTTATATATACCAGTATCATCAGTATCTATATATAAACTCTTCTCTTCTTACCCGAAACACTCACTTCAGTTTGGGCACTAACCTGATTATTTTGAAAGGAACAAACAGTAAAGAAAGCTGGCACTCCAGAGTGTATGTGAGCTGAGAATTTAGAAGACATTGTTCAAAAAGTAAACTGAGTGTTGAAGGGAAAGCACTTTGTGCAAAGTATCATTCCCACTGTTGTTAACATTGCATAAAAATGTAAAGAGTAGTAGTGCTAAACTTGTTCTAAAATAAGGATTGTTTATTGTGAGGAATGTTTTAATACTCTTGGACATTAGGGAGGCTATTTAATATATCACTTGCTCCTAGTTTCACTGTATTAGTAATTAGCAAATTGTCCTGAAATCAAAGGTTTAGTACTTAAGTGTGATTAACATTCCATTATTTATTTGAAATGCTGTGTTTGCTCAAATTCGGTGAAAATACCTTTTGAAGACATGTTCTCTGAGCCTTAAAAATGGCTATCGACAGTACTGTAAGATGCACTGCCAGCAGATTTGATACTTTTCATTTCAGCATAGACAGTAATGTTTCCTAAGAAAGATTTAGAAATCTAAGTGTAACAATTGTTTCATTTGTGGAATGAAAAACTAAATCTGTCTCATTCAGAACACTTCATTTGGAAAGGTTGTCTTTCTTTGCATTTGGGGATGTTTCTGGCAACATCCCTTGGAGAAGCTACTGAGGAATCTCTTCAGCAGGTTGTACCAGATTTGTTTTTTTCTTCTTAAATGTACATATTTTCCTTAAAATGTTGTCATTGGTTGAATGATTAATATCTGTAGTAATATTTTAGGTACCTGTTGAAGTTTTAAAGGAAGATTATTTATTTTCAAGTTTGCTGCTATCATTGAAAACCTAATAACTGGTCCTGTTGACTGTGCCTTTCATCACTGTCTGTGCCACAACCGTTCATGTGTATTTGAAGTAAAGTTTAAAAAGCCATGTTGAATTCAAGATTCCTTCTAATAAAAATAGGTGAAACTTAATGAGTAGTAAGTTTAATTATTAATTTTGTTTAACCCTCATGCAATAATAATAGGTCTTCAAAAAGTTCATGGAAGAATTTGTATTATCTTTTAATTCTGGTTTTCACACACTTTTTGAAGGACCCTTGTAGTTTATTTTCAGTTACAAAACAGGAGTGAATCTTTTATTTGGGTTTTGGAAAGTGTTTAAAGAGGAAAAAACCTAACATAATATTATTAATGATACTGACCGTGGTTATCAATATTATGCAGGTGTTCACTTTATTCACTTTATTATATACACTGTACAGTTCCCAAAGTAAGAGTAGCCACCATGGACCTCTTCAATCTAACGTATCTTGAGGGTTTTATTATTATTTTTGCATAGAAAAAAATTATGTTGATGTTTAGTGCCTATAGTACAGTGATTCCTCCTCTTCAATCTAACGTATCTTGAGGGTTTTATTATTATTTTTGCATAGAAAAAAATTATGTTAATGATGTTTAGTGCCTATAGTACAGTGATTCCTCTTTGAGTTACATTACAGGTTAAAGAAGCTGTTGAAGGTTAGATTGGGGTCATGTGGAATTTATAACATTTAAAGTACAACTCATTAGAAACAGGAAACAGGGTAGACCATATGCACCTCGTCTGTAACAGGATAGAGAGGGTGTATGCTTATTACCACGTTCTCCAAATGGATACTCTTTCAAAAATACGTAATTCGTATTTAAAATAGTTTTACATTTCTATGCCCTTAGTATTTTTTACATAGCTCTTGTGTGTGCAAATTTTAGAATGAATAACATGGCATGCTTTAAAAATATTATAGAAAGTACATTTAATTAGTTTTAAGGAATGTGCTTGACAATAGTGTTAACATATATTTATTTAAATTTGCAAACTTTACACCTTTATCTACAAATAGTTTATTTACAAGTTTACAAGAAATCATCATTTCATCAATACTGTTGACACAGTTAAGATGGAATATTCTCATTCTGTCTTTCACTTCACTCTGTACTTGTAGAAAGAGCACAGAGTATGGGTAAAGTTCCATCCTAGCGCCAGTGACAGCCCGTAGAGTAGAATGAGAGGTGCAAATGGATAGAGAAGAATTACTGTATTTTTCAAAAATGGCAATGCTGGAAAAGAAACAAATCCAAATTGATTTTTTTTTAAAAAAGGGAATATGACTAGCTCTTAATTCAACATATGGGGCAAAAAAGGAATGTACATTTTGAATCGGTAAGATGATGCTATTAATAGCCAGAACTACACTACTCTCAGTGCCCCTCTGTGTTGCTTCCTTCTCATCTAGGGCTGTGAAGAAATCGGGGAGGAGAGGGATTCGTTATTTCAGTGCACAGGCTGAGTGGGAAGCAAGCCGGGACTTGGAGAGGTACAGAGGGAGGGACAGACATCACACATGTTAATGAAGCCTGTGGTGAATGGAAGCCTGTGACTGCCTCAGAATCAATCCTCTAGGAGTCATCTGAAAGTAGAGATGATGTTTAGTGCCTATAGTACAGTGATTCCTCTTTGAGTTACATTACAGGTTAAAGAAGCTGTTGAAGGTTAGATTGGGGTCATGTGGAATTTATAACATTTAAAGTACAACTCATTAGAAACAGGAAACAGGGTAGACCATATGCACCTCGTCTGTAACAGGATAGAGAGGGTGTATGCTTATTACCACGTTCTCCAAATGGATACTCTTTCAAAAATACGTAATTCGTATTTAAAATAGTTTTACATTTCTATGCCCTTAGTATTTTTTACATAGCTCTTGTGTGTGCAAATTTTAGAATGAATAACATGGCATGCTTTAAAAATATTATAGAAAGTACATTTAATTAGTTTTAAGGAATGTGCTTGACAATAGTGTTAACATATATTTATTTAAATTTGCAAACTTTACACCTTTATCTACAAATAGTTTATTTACAAGTTTACAAGAAATCATCATTTCATCAATACTGTTGACACAGTTAAGATGGAATATTCTCATTCTGTCTTTCACTTCACTCTGTACTTGTAGAAAGAGCACAGAGTATGGGTAAAGTTCCATCCTAGCGCCAGTGACAGCCCGTAGAGTAGAATGAGAGGTGCAAATGGATAGAGAAGAATTACTGTATTTTTCAAAAATGGCAATGCTGGAAAAGAAACAAATCCAAATTGATTTTTTTTTAAAAAAGGGAATATGACTAGCTCTTAATTCAACATATGGGGCAAAAAAGGAATGTACATTTTGAATCGGTAAGATGATGCTATTAATAGCCAGAACTACACTACTCTCAGTGCCCCTCTGTGTTGCTTCCTTCTCATCTAGGGCTGTGAAGAAATCGGGGAGGAGAGGGATTCGTTATTTCAGTGCACAGGCTGAGGGGGAAGCAAGCCGGGACTTGGAGGGGGACAGAGGGAGGGACAGACATCACACATGTTAATGAAGCCTGTGGTGAATGGAAGCCTGTGACTGCCTCAGAATCAATCCTCTAGGAGTCATCTGAAAGTAGAGACAGATGATATTACAGAAGAAAACAACTTTTAGCTACTGGGATTTTTCCACTGTAAAAAGCATTATACCCCCACATTGAGAAGGTGCAATCTCAATTAATATACCAAGCTTTAAGAATGAACTAAAACTCTTAGTTGAATGTAAAGTCTGGCCCCAAATATCCATGCTCTTGCTTAGTTAGTAGGACCCTACACCATGCGTTCTGACCTAAATATTTCTCATACAGGAAGTTCCTAAATGGAAACTGAGCTGGACTCAAAGAAACTGTTCTGCGTGGTAGGGAGTGACCAGGAGAGTGTTAAAAACTCCACCAAGAGAAACTACAGTATTGCAGTGTTCTAATCATAAAACGCTTTCCCAAAGTATGTGAAGATTAATATAGCATGGCCTACTAGTTGTTCAGTTAAATGATCAAATAATGAAAAGCATTAATATCTAGGTAATAGAAAAGTAGATTTTCAAAGAAAAAGAAAAGGATCATTTGTATTATAAACATGTCTGTGGAATTCAGTGTACTTTCTTTTTTTTTTTTTTTGTCTTTTTTCGTGACCGGCAACGGATCGCAACCCTCAGTGTCGCGCCCGTACCAGACCGGGACTGGCAATGGGATCGCAACCTTCGGTGTTGCTCCTGCACCTCACTCAGCCAGTGAGCGGCCGGTCCGTACGTGGGATCCGAACCCTCGGCGGGAGCGCCGCCGCACTCCCAAGCGGCGCACTGTAGCAGTGCGCCACCGGGCCGGCCCCAGTGTACTTTCTTATACGCATCATTTCATTTAAATTCAAGGATACAATTAAGAAAATGCTATTCCTAGAGTGGAAATAAAAATAGAAAATAAAGAGAAAAAACATGGTGCACTGCTAATAAACAGTCCTGCACTTAGTTATCTGAAAATGTCAAAATAACACTATTTCACTTGAACAAACTGGAACTTACCAAAACATTCTCCAGTGCAGCCAAGAACCTGTGCCATTACAATTTTATGTAATGGACACATAACTCACTCCCCAAGAGTTCCCTTTCTGTGGTCATTCCCCTGCGGCTCCTATCCCATGCTTATCCCTCAAATGGGCACCTGCCAAGTTCTCTCCTCAGTCCGAGTGTCACCTCAGGAATGCAGATATTCCTTCTGAGAGAGCTCAAAAACAACTGTGGTTTCACCTCCCACCTCCACGTTAATGACGCCAGTCATGTCCTCATGGCCAGACTGTTGTCTCCAGGGTTAGAGTCATGGACCTCAGTGTTCACTGACCTTCATTTCCACTACTCAACAAGCTCCCTGAACTCCATATGTCCAACAAGGAATGCTTCCTGTGCACCTGCCACGGACTCAGTCATCGATGCCCTAGGCTTGCAGGCCATCTCAAAGGAGGCCACTGCCTCCTCTTCCCTCTCTCTCACCATATCCTGTTATCACAGGAAGCTCTCAATCCATCTCTCTCCTCTCTATTCCTACCCTTGCCATGCTATTCTTGGTGTCCTCTACTCTTATGCAGACCCCAGCAATTGTATCCAGCCAACTCCTCCTCCACTGCCATGCAAAAAATTTTTCCTAAAGTGTGAATTTGATATTGTTTCCTTACCTCAAAGCCTCCAAGCTCCCCACCTCTCTTCCACCTCCCATCTCACATGTACAGCCTATGAGATAAAGTCTAATTTTTTTCCCTGAATTGCGTTAAGGCCAATTTCTCTAGTCACATCTCCTCCCTAGCCATTCAGTGTCACCTTATGCTCCCAGACTAGCAGGCCATGCCACACTTGTATGCCTTTGACTTGAAGTTCCTGGTACCAGGAATCAACTATCTCACATCCCCCCAAAACACTTTCTCATGCCCATTCCTGCAGCACCTCTGGGATGAGCACAATTACATGTGATCATTTCTATTTCTAGTTCCACACAATTCACAACGCAACACGAGTTCTCAATAATGTACTGAGTCCTTTTCTATTTAACTCAAACTGNGTTAGAAACCTGAATATAAAATGTCACGCATCTCCCCTGGACAAGAGAGGACTCCCGATACCCAAAACAAGGGATTACAATGAGGGTGTTAGGAAGTCCCTGGAAAGCCAGCCGTGGGGGTGGAACAACTTGGCCAGAGGAGCCAGTTTGTGCTCACAGTAAGGTCCTAATCACCCGGAGTAACAGGAAAGTAAGGGCTAATAAACCACAAGTGAGATCTCTAGATTTACAACAGTATTTAAGAGTAAATTTGCAAGTATGTCCTGAGATCAGTAAATGTTGGGCCTGATCTTCTGTGATCACCTATACAGTGATCATAAAAACTAAAAATAAGGCAAAAGTACGATTCAGAAAGGTTTTAAACAACTTTTGTTCATATACCTATGTGCCCATATGCCAGGCCCAACCCCTTCCTCACTCTGCCCTACTGCTGGCAACTCAGAACCTGAAAGTGTGATAGAAAAGGAAGAACAAAATGGTCGTGGATTCCTGCAAGTGACTTGGAGATGAGCAGAATGGTTTACTATGGTTTGTCGAAATTATAAAATTTGTTGTATACCAGCTATGCCACTTTCAAGCTACATGACCATGCCTTAGTTTCCTCATCTGAAAAATGGGGATAAGTAACCCTATGTCATATAATTGTTATGAAGATTAAATGATTAATGAGATAACTCCTGTAAGTGCTCCACAAAGGGAAGCTATTAGTATTACTGTTACAAATCTTCCCCTCCCTGTTATGCTCTCAACCAACCAAAAAAAATTTTTTTAGTTACTTACCACTGTATCCCAGGAAGGTTACATAGATATAATAGCCAACTGCAATCAACCATAAAGTATTTCCAACTAAATATCCAATAAATGTGTCTGTTAGGATAACATCTGCCAGAAGAGATGCACACAATGAATCTCTTTACCAATTCATACTATGAATACTTGGAAAATGTTTTGAGAAGTAACTGCTACTTACGGTTGATGAAAAAAAGCTGGATAAAATGCAAAATGACTAGGAGTGGATAAAAAGCATTCAGGTGCACATCAAAGGCATAGCCCCACTCCACGTCATAGTCTCTGCTCTGTCGTTTCACTAAATACTTGTTAGAGATGAACCTGCAGAGCAAAATTAAATTTTCTTATGTAATACAATCAAATTAATTCTATAAATATTTATTGTCTACCTTCTGTGTGCCAAACATTATTCTAAGTTCTGGAGATATAACAGTAAACAAGACATAAAACCCCCTGCCTTCAATCTAGTGGGAGAAGACTGATGATAATATAAATATGTCAGATGGTTCTATGGAGAAAAATAAAGCAGTAAAGAAGGACAGACAAGAGAAACTTGAGATGCTGTGTTAAATGTGATGGTCACTAAGTAACGTCTGGGTAAAGACCCAAGGGCAGTAATGGTGCCTGGCACGTTTGAGAAATGGGTAAGGAGAAGACCAGTGTGTCTGTAAGAAGAAGAAAAGGAGCAGAATGTGAAGTCAGAAAGAAACAGGCAGCCAGATCGCCTGGAGCCTGTGGCCATTTGGCTTTTACTCTTGGTGAAATGAGAAGTCACTG